ATGCATAGGCTGCTTTTCCTTGAAGAGCTGCAAAATCCTCCCTCTGTGCGGTTCCTAGCACCGCAGACCTCCCGAGTGCCACCACGGCCTCCCCAGACAGAGGCTGCATCCCGCCTTTCTCTAAGTACACGGTGCTCTCTGATCCTTGGAATTCAGGATACTCCAAGAAAATTCCCCAGTAGAACAGGTCAGGTTGGCGATTCGGGATTTCTCCGATTCTCACAAGCAGATTCATGTATCAGCTCAACCTTGAATTTGCCACTCCTGGATCTTCAACATGCTGGATTTGATTCAGAGTGGGTGAGCTGATCACAGAGACTATGACAGCCTCTTGATTTGGTTTGTGTTCTTCCCCAGGTTTGTTGGTGAAGGCACCAATGGAAATGTGGAGCAGCAGCACTGACAAGTTTTACAGGATCCCCGAAGGAAAGGGACCGCACTCAGTAGGATGTACAGACCTGATGACAGAAAATGCAGTTGAGGTAAAGCTCTCAATTCCTTCTCTGTTCAGTTTAAGCCACAATGTTGGTGAACGAACTTGCTGTAGTTTTACAGATGAACCAGACAGGTGGTCTTGCCTGTGCGAAGGGATGATCCGTGGCTGATGCTCACAGCTGAGCTTTCTGTCCTCTCCATCCTGGTGCAGGATGTGTACAGGGTGTTTACCAGACAGATGTAACCTGCAAGTTTTCCCCATAGCTACTTCCTCCCTCCTCCTAATAGCGTTGCCTTTCTGACTCCCCTGTACATGATACTACAGAGAAACTGTGTCCTCCTGGGACTCACAGGGTCCTTCCCACCCACCCACTGCTCCCCTCCTACGGTGGGCTCCTAGGGAGACTCCACACAGTCTTTGTGACTGTAGCTGTTCTCATCAAAGATCTCAACAGGATTTGGCAAGGTTGGGAGGTGAGGGATTGCAGTGTTTCTGCTGCAGGGTAAAGTGTGAGATGTCTTCTGGAGATTTTATCTCCCTGAAAAAGAACAGGATGTCAATTCTGGAAGAGGCTAGTGCAGAGAGAAACCATGATAAGGAGATGGGATCATTAAATAGACAAATAATGATCTCACTTTTGGGTTTTCATTTCAAATCTTGCTTTTTAGACAATAAGCCTGCACTTACACTGTGGTTTTAATCCTCAGACTAGCCAGGTATAGAGGCACTTGATCAGTTTGTTCATAGTGGATCTTCATATATTTTCCTTTACCAAGTTTACTCTGTATTAGCACAGAGCAGCAATTACTTTCTCTTTGCAATCAGCCCATGTGATTTTGTTTAGATAAGCATTCTGAACAATCACAATTCTCTCAGGTATAGATAGTGAACTTCTTTCCCTTTCTGGTAAGCAGTGAGTCCTTGAGGAGGTTCACTGGGACTACTTTGAGATCAAGTTAATATCATTACCAATATGAGGAAAATTCTTCCTTAATGGTCTTTGTGTCAAAGGTTGGTTTAAATTTGGTAAGTAAATAGAAACAAGCTTCATTAAACAAGCTTTTGGTAAACTGATGAATTAGTGTTTGAGAAATCAGACTTTTTTCCAAGACTCTTGTTTGTTTTGGTCCTAATGTTAACTTGCTAAAGCCAAAGGGCAGTTGGAGCAGGACAGTGAATTTAAATAGTGTGTCGCAAATTCCCTTGCAAACCAGGAAGTAAGAACGCAAATGACACAAGGCCATCTGCCAGGAAGTCTGCTTTGAGGTGTGCCACTGGTACATTGCTGCTGCCTGTGAAGGAAAAAGATGGACAAAGGGGGTATGGAGGGTCCATGTGAGTGTGGAAAGCATGAGTGATTTCCTGGGAGACCTGGACTGCAGACAGTAAAAGAAGATTCAAACTGGTGGCAAGAAACAGAGGCAGATAAAACACAGGTTAACAAAGTTGTGTTTAGAAAGATGGACCACTAAAGACTCGTAAACATCTTCATGAGGAGGAAGAATAATATATGTGCTTCTTTGCTGTGCAACTGCCCAAGAGCTTTGCTGACAGCCTGTGCTCAGTTTAGCCAGGAACACTATAGCGACATGAGACCATGCTCCTGACTCTACCCATATCTCCTCTGCTGGACCCTACTTCCAAAAACTAGTCTCAGGGTAAAATTTGTCTTACTAACCTAGTGGAAAAATATACTTCTATGATGCTGCTTTTTTTCACCACAATTTTGGCAACCTGAATTGGGTCAGTAACAGCTCCATGAGACTCACTGGTAAAGAAAGCAATGACAGGTCCCAGCTGGAACAGTGAAGGGGTCACAGTCAGAATCATAAAATCGCAGGTCGGTTTGGGTTCAAATATACTTTAATTATCATCTAGTTCCAACCCCCTCGATGGACAGGGATACCTTCCACTAGACTAGATTACTCAAAGCCCCATCCAGCCTGGCCTTGAATGCTTCCAGGGATGGGGAATCCACAGCTTCTCTGGGCAACCTGTCCCAGTGCCTCACCACCCTCACAGTAAGGAATTACTTCCTAATATCTACTCTAACCCTGCCCTCTTTCAATTTAAAGACATTCCCCCTTGTCCTCCACTCCATGCCCTTGTCCAAAGTCCCTCTCCAGCTCTCTTAGAGTCCCTTTAGGTGCTAGGAGGTGCTCTAAGGTCTCCCCAGAGCCTTCTCTTCTCCAGGCTGAACAACCCCAACACTCTCAGCCTGTCTTCTGTCTCAGCCCTCTGACCATCTTCAGTCACCCCTGTAAAACTGATCAAAATGCATCATCAAACCATTCGCAGTGAGGGAGACAGAAGACAAGATCTGGCAAGATGCAGAAATGGAGCAATTAGGTAGTGAGTGATTATAATGCATAACTTAATTAAAGAGGGCCTTTTGAATTAGCCGTAGGCTAACCTAGAGAAGGTGATGTATGTCTCTACCTGGATGCCAACAACCATGCTACTTTGAATTCATTGTAGGGACAAAAAGTGACATAGGATTGGCATCAAAGCCTGTATAGGCTAATAATTTTCTCTTGAGCTGTCATAACTGCATCTGAGGCCCTTTATATAAATGTTTCTACTTTCCTTTTTCTCTGCCAAATATCAAGATTCTTTCTTTTATTTTCTCCTAATCCCAGGGAAGCTTTTTGCGCCTGTATTATCCAGCATGCGACGCCACAGATATCGAAGAGGCACGATGGATTCCAGACAAAGAATACTATCAGGGTCTCTCTGACTTCCTTAATTTGTACCGAATTGTAGGAGAAAGGCTTTTCCATTACTATGTGGGTAAGACTGGTGATGGTTTTATTCCCTGATGAGTGCATGAGCTCTCTTTGCAGGTTGCTGCCTCACTGCTCTGTGGGAGGTGTGATACTGCTGCCAGGACTGAAAAATAGTTTTTAGGAAAGAAGTGTGTTAGTTTGGAATGGGTTTGTGTAGTGAGGCTCAGTGCTGAATGTGACCCACCCAGTTCTCAGGCAGACCTGCTGTCCCTGACTGCTGTGAATAGCAGTGTCTGGGCAGTTTGCTCTAGGGAGAACTTCTGTGAGCTGCACCCATGTGTCAGGATTTAAATCCCACAGGGAGATGTGCAAAGATACAAAAGTCAGGTCCTAAGGTCTGAATACCAACAAGACTTGGATGTCTGACTATTAGGGTTTAAGAGATATGTAGACTTTGTGCCCGGCTGTGGATGGGAGGAGAAGGAAAGTGTTTTCAGAATCAGATCCATATTTGTCATCTGTATTTTAAAGATGATACTTGGTACCTTATCTTTAGATGACTGCCCTGAAATGAGTGGTCAGCACATTCTGGGATCTCTCCCACAGGAACCAATGCTCTCATTTCAGCAATAATGACTTATGTTTCCATTTCTGTCTAGGTTCGGTGACCTGTCCTGCAAAGTCAAATGCTGCTTTTAAGCCAGGAGAAAAATACCCACTGCTCGTTTTTTCCCACGGACTTGGAGCTTTTCGGTAATTCTGCAGCTTGTTGACGAACTGTTTTTGTTGTCTGTGGAGGCAGCAGTCTCCAAGGATGATTCTGACCAGATTTCCAGTAGGGGGAGAAGATTCTCGTGGAGCTTCAGCAGATTTGCAGAACAGGCTGCTGTGTATCAGTATGCCTCTAGTTAAATCAATAGCAGGAAATAAAAGCAAGATTGGTGTATCATTGATCATAGAATCATGGAATGGTTTGTGTTGGAAGGGACCTTAAAGATCATCTAGTTCCAACTCCCCAGCCATGGAGAGGGAAACCTTCCAGTAGATCAGGTTGCTCAGAGCTCCATTTGTGTTTTCCCTTCGTATGATAGGGGTGAAGGTATTTACCAGCTCATAAAAGCACGTTGTGAAGATTAGCTGATTGATTTTTGGACACCTCTTTGAAGATGTAAAGTGTTGTATGTATTACTTTATTAAAAGTCATTAGCATTTTTCCTTCTGAATAGACAATAAAACAGTACCAAGGTTTTGTGAACAGGCTTTGGTGCCTGGCACTAAAGAACCTGCTCTTCTGGCTAGCAAATTCAAGCAGAAGAAATACTGAATGGGGACTAGTGTATACCTAGTGTGGTCAGCATTTAAAGAGCAGTGGAACTGAAAGAATTATGTCTCACCAGAGTGTGTTTTTTATTGCAGGACAATCTATTCTGCTATTTGCATTGAGATGGCTTCTCAGGGCTTTATAGTGGCTGCTGTGGAGCACAGGTGTGTATGCTGCACATTTTGGAGTTCTGATGGAAAGAAACTTCTCACATAGAATATTATTTATTCTAAAGAAAACTTTCAATGTTTTTTGAAGAGAAAATCTAACATCTCTTCTTCAGCCCTGCCCATAGCCCCATTTCTCTAGCTAAAGTCTTCCTAAGAAAAAGGAATTTTGCTTAGATAAGCCCTAGAATGAAAAGTCCCAGGATAGATATTGTTTGTCATTCTTCAGACATGCTGTTTTTCTCACTTTTGTTGTTAGAACCTGGAGAATACAAAGGAAGTGGGAGTTTTGGTGGGGTTATTGCATTATTTAGAAAGTCTGTCTACATTTAGTTGTTATTGCAGCAGCACTGGTTGGTAGCTGCATCTCTTCAGATAAGTGAAATCTAAAACTTGTGCTGACTTCATCTCAAACCAAATGAAACACATACCCAGAAATAACCTTTTGTTGAGATTACAGAGATGAATCTGCTTCAGCAACATATTACTGTAAAAGAAGGTCCGTTTCTGAATCACAGGAAGAGTCTAAGTCATACATGGAGAAGGAGTGGATCTACTACAGGAAACTAAAAACTGGAGAGGAGGAGCGTTGCTTGCGCCATAAGCAGGTACTCAGCATCAGTCTGTGCTCTGGGAAGTGTGGCAGGA